CGCAAGGATGTCCTTAGATTTTTAAAAGGGGAGGAGTTTGAATAAAAAATTAAACGCAGACTCTAGTATTATGTAGCTGGGCATCTGCTTAGATGCACCAATGATCTGGGATAAGGCAGTTTGCATCATTCGGACACCCCCAACTGAATGTCTGATATGACTGTTGTCTTCTGGTTCAAGGTCAGCTATGGTGCCACCACCGAAAAGCTGAACAATGAGGGGCTCTACCCCTCTTTCTTCCGGTCAGTGCCCAGTGACAAAAGTCAGCTGGAAGCTATGATGCAGCTCCTGGTGGTCTTCCAGTGGAACTGGATCTCTGTGGTGGCCAGCGATGATGGATATGGCCGCGAAGGCCTCAGCCTCTTATCCTCCATGGTGGCCAACAAAAGCATCTGTGTCGCCTACGAGGGGCTGATCCCCTCAGAAATCTTGGAGCCCGGTTATCCAGAGCGGCTGAAGCAGATGATCCAGGCAATCAATGAAACCAACGTCAACGTTGTCATCTTGTTTTCCAGTGACCAGGCGGCTCGAGCCCTCTTTCAAATGTGGGTCAGGTTAGGCTTGGGCAAGAAGGTGTGGATAGGCACCCAAACCTGGGTAGTGTCTGATGCTGTCACCACCCTGCACCACATCCGCTCCATCGGGACAGTCATTGGCTTTGTCATCAAGGGGGGAGAGGTCCCTGGCTTCCAAGAGTACGTCCACAACCTCTTAGACCTGACCCAGGGGGACAGCTTCTGCCAGGCATCTCAGGCACAAGCGGAAGCGATGAGTGCCGACATTCAGGGGCCACCGTGTGAGCAGTGCAACCATGTTTTGTATCAAAATATCACAGCAGTGTTGGATCACCACCAGACGTTTGCTGTGTATGTCGCTGTGCACAGCGTAGCACATGCGCTCCACGAACTGCTGCGTTGCCAGAGCGGGCACTGTAGGAAGAGTAACCTCAAGCCTGGTGAGGTAGGTGAGATGGGGACCCAGCAGCACCACCTGAATGGCTACCGGTTGGGGTGGGGGGACAAGAGAGCAAGTGGTGCAGACGCGCAGATAGCAGTCGTTTTGTAACAGCACCCATGGCGTGGCCTGCCAACCTGAAAGAGCTTCCTGATCGGCTCCTTTGTAAACAGCCTGTTTCTGTAACGCAGTGGAAGAAAGCGGATGGGGGGAGAGAGGAAGCTCAGCTCCTTAGAATCACAGAGGTAGAAGGGTCCCCTGAGGCCATCCAATCCAACCCCCTGCTCAATGCAGGAATCCAAACTAAGACGGCTGTCTAGCTTCTACCGGAGCTTGTCCAAAGGAAGGGAACCCCCTCTCTCCCCTCCGGGTGTTGGTTCCACTGTTGAACTGCTCTTACTGTTGGGAAGTTTTTCCTAATATTCAACCAGAATCTGCCTTCCTAGACCATGCTTCTGTCTCCTGCACTCTGGGATGAAAGACATCAGGTTGTAGCTTTCTTCTGGTTCTTGATGTTTTCTCCTAAAGAGATGAGGAAGCTCTGCAAATCCAAAAGAAGCCCTATATAGTAGAGCAGGTCGAACAATCATCTCTAGGGATCCTTTCCCAACTCAGCTTCCTATTTTTCTCGGCAGCTGATTAACGAGCTGAGGAAGGTGAATTTCAGCATTGGCAACCAGGCGTTCCATTTCAACCAGGACCGCAGCATCGACTTGGGCTATAAAGTCATTTGGTGGCACTGGCGAGACAGCAGGATTGAGCCCATCATCTTGGGACATTTCAACCAAACGTTGCACATCAACAAATCCCTGGTTCAGTTTCACACCCCAGATCAAACGGTAAAAGGTTCCTCTTCACCAGAAAAATCCAATAAAGGAGATGCTCCTCCCAGCCCAAATCATTTCATTCCAATGGCGGGCGGGGGGGGGAGGAACATAAATACCAGGCCAGCAGGGAAGAAAGTAAAAGATGTGCAAAGAGAACACAAAGAGGGCTGCAAGAAAAAAAGTCACCGATCCAAGTCTGGGAGGGGAGGCCACATAGGAATCTGAGCAGCCTTTATTGGAGATGGACCGGGAACAGTTCCTTCTCTCTCCTTCCCTCCAGGTGCCTCCATCCGAGTGCCTTACTACGTGTCCACCTGGGCAGATCCGTCAGATAAAGGGGTTCCACCTCTGCTGTTACGACTGCATTGACTGTGAGAAAGGCACGTTCTCCAGTTCCACAGGTAAGAAGAATCTCTGCCCACAACACAGTCCCTGCATCCTGGGGAGACCTGACAGGCAGACAGACATGTGGTAACCTTCTCCCTGAACACAGATGATGTGTTCACCAGATGATGAAACCTGTTGCCTTACCTAATATGAACACCCAGCAGGCCGGCCAGCACAGGCGGTGGCTTAGAGCAATCTGCTGCTCTAGATGACCTCCCAAATCCCCCATGAGCCTAGGAGCTCAGAAATACATTTAAGGCATACCCTGCTAGGTAATCCACTGAGCATTACAAGTCCGGCCCTTTCTGCTGCTCCTTCCTAGATGACTCCACTTGCAGTCCCTGCCCTGAGCACCAGTGGTCTCCCCCACGCAGCACCCGGTGCTACAGCCGCAGCGAGAAGTACCTCTCCTGGTCCGAACCCTTGGTTGTCGCCTTGCTGAGTCTGCTGATCCTCACCTTTGCTCTCACCTGTCTGGCGGGGGGGCTCTTCCTGAGATACCTCCAGACCCCTGCAGCACAGGCCACAGGGGGAACCACGTGTCTTCTGGCCCTCTTCAGTCTCGCCTTGATGGGACTCAGCTCCACCCTCTATGTTGGGAAGCCCAGTACGACCACTTGCCTCCTGCAGCAACCCATTTGTGCTCTCTGCCTCAACGCTTGCTTCTCCACCATCGCTGTCAAAGCCTTCCAGATCATGCTGGCCAATGACTTTGGAGACAGCCGCCCAAACGCCCTGCACTTTCTTGCACGGAGGCGGCCGTGGGCCGTGGTGGCCTGGTGCTTCCTGGTTGAAATCTTGCTCTGCACCGGGTACCTCTATGCTTCGCCGTCTCTCCTGGTCAAAAACTACAAACTCTTCTCCTCCCAAGTCCTCCTCCAGTGCAAAATCCAGTCCTGGGCTGCTTTTGCCATAATCCACGGCCACAACAGCTTCCTGGCATTTATCTCTTTCCTCTGCACCTTTATGGTGCCAGTTTCCCCGAAGCATTACAACCTTGCGAGAGGCATCACCTTTGCCGCCGTCACCTACTTCATTACCCTGGTGGTCTTCATACCCACCTACGCTTCCGTGAAGGAAGACACCCAGCCAGCTGTGCAGATGGGCGCCATGCTGCTCTGCATAGTAGGCTTGCTGGCCACTTACTACCTCCCCAAATGTTATATTTTCTATTTGAAGCCAGAGCAGAACAGGCTAGACTATTTTCAAGATTACACCAAAGAGAGGCAGCAAGAGCAGAAATCCCAAGATTAGCTGCTGGGATGTTCTCTGAGACAGAAGAACTGCTTCTGTTAAGAATCAGAAGTCTAAACATATTATTCGTTTGGTTTTAAATATAGGAACTGTTTACTTCCCAGATCTGCACACAAGCATGTTCATCTGTGCAGATAGGGATATATAAAAAGTCCTGTTTTCAGTAATCTATTGTTGGGGAGGCTGTACCACTTCAGCTACAATGTTGAACTCTCGAGTGTATATCGAAAAGTAGTCTTTTCTTACATTACACTTCATTACATGCATTACTAGAAACAAGAGGAGAAAACTTCACTTCATTTAAACTTATTCTTCTGATTGCATGAAGTTGAACATGTACAAACATGCTAAGCTTTAATAAGTGATATACAGCCAACACGTCTTTTGTGATGGGGGTCAGAATTAAAGTGCAAACCATCTCACGCTGAATAAAAAAGAGCTTGGCCTTTTGCATCAGCTTATTTGAATTCTTTTCCTCCATCACTACCATCCCTTATGAACTTCCCAGAAACATTTGGATGATAAACGGGATACTCAAATTTGGTGTGAGGGAGAGTGACAGCGGGTGGAAGAAGATTGCTAATGAACTGGGTGTAACAGCCTCTGCTTTGCTACGGAGAGTTCCCAGGTCTGTTCTCCAGCTTTTCTAAGTAAGACTCACAAAGATCCTAGTGTAAATTCCCTCAGTTGTTCCCATTTTGTGCTACTCAGTTGCCATGGACAAGGTTGAAACAAGATACACTTAAAGAGAGCAGAAAAGTACAATGGGTTTGTCCTCCACCAATTTGAATGCTCAGCCACCTATCCTTTGCAAATGATGTGAACATTCACCCAACTCAGATTCTTCATGCAAATTCTTCCTTTTTGAGGTTAAACACAAATTAAACCCTGAGGGATATGCAAAAGCTCAGCAAATGTGGTGCTTAACTGGGTGAAGAATTTGTGACCTTCTCCCAGGTGTTGTTAGCCTCCAATACCCACCCCATCCCAGACAGCCAGGAGCAATGGGTTTCAGAGTCCACATTCTCTCCAATAGATTATTGGTGGTATTTTGATGAAGGAAGGGGAGGCTGACTCTCTAGTACCCGATTTAAGTCTCCAGGAAGCCTTGCCACTAAAGGCAGAGGAATGGAGGAAAATTTCAAGGACTTACTCCAAATCCAAAGCTAGGGATTCCTAGAGTTACAACTGAGGCGGTCAAAGCATTTCAACAATGGTAGAGATGCAAATGATTGGGACTAACTCTTTTAGCTAGGCAGCAGAGATCTCCACCCACATCGACAGACATGGGGCTTTCTGTTGAGCAAAATAAGTGACCAAAAATAACTAAAAAGTAAAGACATCTCTGAGGCTTGATTCCTAGCATCAACAGGGACCATCCATGTAGTTTTCTTGGCAAGAATATGGAAGTTGATGGATTTCCCCCCCTCCCCAACTTCCAAGTCTAAAACTATAGCTAGGGGTTTCTTGCTGGTCTTCCAGCCAACTACACACCAAGTCTGACCTGTCTTGGCTAGGGGCTGTCACTTGAGCTATGCTATTTTGGAAAGGACTTTAACATTTTGCAACACTGCACATCACTCTAAGGCCTTGTGACAGATCTGCACGCCCAATGTATATGGATATTTCAAGCACTGATCCATTCCATTGAAAATATTTCTGAAACACAGTGAAAGTTGAAATGCACACAGCATCTGCTATATGGGGGGGTGGGGATGGAAGCCTTTTTGCCTTTTCCTCAAATAGCATTTGAAGCATTAAGACAGTCTTATCAAAGAGGAGAAAACAGCAGTTAGAAATCTGCATGCTGATCACGAAACAAACAAATAAAAGACAGAGACAACAGAAATATATATATATATAATATCTCAGAATAAAATGTTGCCACCACCAATGAAGAAAAATCACGAAAGTGCATTTGTCACATAAAAGTAAAAGCTTTTTTTTTTTAGAGTTTAAAATAGCATTTACACATAAGCAGCTATATATTAACTATACAGACCACTGGAGTTTTTCATACAATATCTACAAAAAAAAAATTCAGAAAATGAAGACGAGATTAAAAATGAGGGGAGTGTGCCATTCAAACATCATCAAGAAATCAATCTCGGGTATGAACCAATGTTAGGATCCTTTAGAGTCGGCGGGCAGGGATTTCATGTCCTGCCTTTATTTCATTCATTTCTATTTTTTTTTTTTTTTGCTCGACTGTACATAGATTCTGTATGCATCATTCTAATCCCTGATTAGAATTAGGCTGTTCCTTTGACATTATTCCTTACTATTCAGTAAAATGCAACTTTAAAGGGGAAGAAGCAGCTAGCCCCAAACATTCAATTTCAATGTTTTTTCTCTGTGCCCAAGACAGGACTCACTAGTTGGGAAGAGAAAGGATTAAAGGCAAGGCAGAAAGGAGGTCATGCCCACAAAGGATGGCTGGCTTTATCCCATCACATCTGGGTAAAACATCTGGGAGATGGATCCCTCTGAAAAGAAAAGGTGAATATGCCAGAGATTTTAAAGGGGTAAACACGTCTTTTCAAAATAGTCTCTGAAACAATAAACTTAAACATGCTTTCCTCAATTAATTCATGAGAACTAGCTTATCCTGCTGCTGCCCAGCAAGATAAACTGACCATTTGGAATCACAGTACAATTCCTTCAAAAGAGTAACACCTACAACAGTTCGCCATTAGGCACAGTCCTCAAATATCCAAGTATTAGCCAGAATTGTTTAAAAAAACAACAGCAGCCCGTCAAGAGAACCTGTTTCACACCCACAACCATAGAGAACGATAGATAGAGAAAAACAGTGTGCATGGCATGTGTGAAAAATCAATGTGGGTGAGCAGTTGGGCACAGGTTCTCTAGCTACCTTGAAGGATCTCCTTTGATTAACAGGTCTGGAAAAACAAAGTCTCTCCAAGACCTTGGAACTTCATAGGGAGCCAACTGCCTGCCTGCCCTTGATACACAGGAGCAATCTAAGATCTGCCTTCACCAAGATGGTACCCACTAATTCCCATCATTCACATCCAGGGAGAGGAACACCACTTGGAAGGCATTGCAACATTCATACAGGACAAAACTGTCTTGTGACTCCCATTTACTTGTTCACAGCATCACATGCCCATATCCAGTGGTCAAACACGGAGGGGAGGCATGGAACAGGGAGGGGCACAGGTGGCTGGCTGGCGGGCATCTGAAACATTCTGTAACAGGCCTTACTCATTTATCCGCAAATCACCCTGGGATTTTTTTTTTCTTTCTCTCTGCCTTTTCACCATTTGTCATAGTTCGCTCACCTGGAGGCAAAGAGCATGCAGGTGATATGTCACACAAGTAGAGAACAACTTTGCCCCTCTACGTAATTCCCTCCCTCTTCTTATACACTCCTCTTCTTTCCTTCCTACCTTGATTGGGCTCTCAGAAAACCAGGTTCCCCAGATCTTCCACCAAAACCTATGCGCTCCCCTTCCCTGCAATATTCTTAACTCAGAGCAATTGGGGGGGCGGGGGGGGAGCCAATACCATAAAGAAATCGCAAACAATATCCAGATGCAAACACAGCCATGATAATTCAACGCTTAGAAGAGTAAAATTGGGAAAAACACACCATGTCGCAGTTAGAATTTCTCTAACAAGTGTCAACAAAGCCACACACTTTCTTGCCATCCAGCTTGACAACTTGGGTGGGGTTTGTTTGCATTAATGCTTCAGCTTTTTAAAATACACAACGCAGGTGCCACAGGAAAAGACCTCACCTGGGCCAAATCTTCTACAGAAACAGGAGCACCCCAAGAGATGCTTCTCCAAGGGAGAGCTTGACCATTTGCTAAGAGATCAGACAATGAAAGGGGAGTTTAATTATGTCATAGGAAGGCTGGGCCAGTCCCAACGAAGGGAAAATGGTGGAGAAAGAGGGAGGGAGGCAAGACACAGGACCGGTTTTAGGGTGTGTGACTGACAAAGGCAGCAATTCTCTTTCTGTCTAGAGCAAGGAGAGTGATGGATGGAAGACCACTTGGCAAAACTGCCTGTAGTACCTGCTGAAGCTCTACAATCACCAGAATCTTCTTTCGAGGTGTAAAATATGGAACCCAAGAGTTCCCGTTTTCGGAGGAGAAATTCAACCTGTTGAGTTTCTCACAAAACGGTTTTTCTTTCTTAAGGAAAAGACCCAGTATTGAACCAGGGTCAGAACGTACAAACAAAACCTTAATGAAAAAGAGCCAAAAGGAAGGCGGAAAGAACTTAGACCCACAGATAGATCTTCACCTATTGCTGCAATGGGGCCCAACGAACACACACAGACACACCCCAATCTCATAGCTCCTAGTTGTGTCGTCTTTATCCTCCTCATTGTAACTTTTTCCCCCAAGACTGGAAAGAAAGAAACCAGAGTATTCTTTAAAGGTGCAAATATGCAGAACCGGAGAATTGCGTGTTGCTTTTGTTTTTGTTTTTAAGTACTATATAAAATACGATCCCTTGATTAAGCCAAGGAGAACACAGTAAAATTGCACTGAGAAAAGGTGCCACGCATAACAAAGCTCATTAAGATATGTGGAGAAAACACCTATCAATCACATTCAGAAAAAGGAAGGGGAGGGGGAGGAAAAAAAGGGACGAGGACAAAATATGCCCGATTGGCAGATATTAACATCCTGGAATTGTTCTTCCCTGTTTGCTGGCAAAACACAATCAAGAGTCAGAAGGGTGTGACATGCAAAAGATTGTCAAGGGGGGGCGGGGGGGAGTGGGATCGGGTTTTTCCTCTCTTTCCCCGTTGCTTAGAAAGAAAAAAGTCCAGCGCCAGTCCGCCAACAGAACAGGGACCCTCAGCGCGGACTCTCTCTGAAGGCACTTCTGTTCACATAATGTCCACGAAGAACTCGCACGGGTTGCCCATGGCCTTCTGGAAGGACTGGCGGCTCCCGGTCAGTTCGGGAGGGACGGAGCCAAGTTCCCGCACTGGAGGTCCTCCGGGCGGCCCGCTGGCCGCGTAGACTTTGCCCCCCAGCTTTGGGAAATTCCCAAGAGAAGGCAGCCCGTATGAGTGGTGGCTGCGAGGACTTCTCTCACTGGGGGTGGCCGAGATGTGGCTGCGGTGGCTCAGCTGGCTGGGGGGCCGCTCCTGCCGCAAGACGCTCCCCCCACCCCCGCTCCAGGTGGCTGGGTCCGACCCGCTGCTGCCGCCCCCCGCTGATTTGCCATCCTTCTCCCGACTCAGGGCTCGCTGGCTGTTCTCACTGTTGCTTCGGTTAGAGCCGCTGCCTGCGAGGACTTCTCTCACTGGGGGTGGCCGAGATGTGGCTGCGGTGGCTCAGCTGGCTGGGGGGCCGCTCCTGCCGCAAGACGCTCCCCCCACCCCCGCTCCAGGTGGCTGGGTCCGACCCGCTGCTGCTGCCGCCGGCTGATTTGCGATCCTTCTCCCGACTCAGGGCTCGCTGGCTGTTCTCACTGTTGCTTCGGTTAGAGCCGCTGCTTCTGCTTCCTGGAGGGAAGGGGAGGGGTGGCAAAAAGGAGAAGAGCAATCTGGATCAGGCCCAGGAGAAGGCGATTTTCACTGCTCGCCCAACCGCGGCTCGGAGCAAGAGAAAAGTCCTGGCGGAGGGCTGGTGGTCATAGGATTTGCAAAGCAGAGCCCGCGGGATGAATGCAGATGAAGATGCAGCATGCAGAAATGCTCAAAAACCGAATGGAAGCAGCAGCATGATTGCAATGTTGTGTTTGAAGGGGCTGTTGATGAAGCAAAGGTGGATCACGTAAGCGGAAAAGAAGAGACACCCTCCGGAAGCTGAATGCCAGAATAGTGTACTGTGCAAAATGGAGTCCCTGGGCTCCAAAATCCCAAGATTTTGGTAGTTTAGATTTACAGATGGGACCCTGTAGCAAAATGTTGCCCTGTGACTACCTTTTGGCTTTTTCTGCCCCTCCTAGCAAAATATCCCATTCTTTTTCAATAGCCACTCTGCTCTCAGAAGCTTGTAAGCGAGGTTCTCTCTCTTGGAGATGTTGTTCCCTTTGCTTTGTAAAAATAGGGGCTGCGAAGGAAAATCTTCAGGTTCCTATGCTCAGATGCCATGCCCAACGATTCAGAGACAGAGAAGGAGGAGAAGAAGGAGACTAGCTTTCTCTTGGGGATTGTGATAGGATCCCCAAGATCATTCCCAACAGAAAGCAGTTTGTTGACCCTGTAGCAGAAAAGCCCTTGACACATGACTCTTTCCTGGATGACTTTTCCTCAAGAAAAGAGCTAGAAAGCTTTTCCCAATCTCCAGCTACCTGAATTCCTTCTTTTGTCAGCTGCCAAGGAGAGGTCCCCCCGGGACAGCAAAATATGAAAGTTCAAGAGCCAGATTGTAATCTGCTTGCTCAACAGGATAGCTTTGCTGACCAGCTTCTGAAATCTCTGCTGAAGCAACCTCTCTCTCCCCCCAGAACTTTCCATGGTGCTGAAATGTCCACATAAGGTTGATGTGTGATTTAAAACTATTGACTAAGGACTTCTGGCCAATGGTGGACAGCTCCAGCTGCAACTGGGATCTGTTTCTGCCTTGCCAGGAATTCTGCAAGCAATAAGGCCAGGGCACACGGTGCCCAAAGCATTTTTTTTTTTTTAAATAAAAGAACTATAGATGCGGAGGAGAGGAAGTGGGGAGGAACAAGTTCAAAATTCCAGAGGAGGGGAGAAAGAAAAAGCATGAGAATCTATATGGACTGAAAATGAGCTTTTGAATGGAGGAAGAATATGCTTACCAATCCTTTATGAATCCTTCAGTCTAAGGCTTGCTCAGGATAAAACAAGGGAATAGCAGTCACCAAAAGAAAAGTTCCTCAACCCAAGAGAAATGTCATAGCAGCAACACCAAGACAGCAACACATGCCAGCCAGAAGAGCCACTTGAGACACTCTGGCCCTCTTTTCACACTCATAAGGCAGCCACATACTTTGCTGGCAAATTGGGAGCTCTGCATGAACCAGCAGTGACTCCAGAATTATTCCATATGCGGTAGCTGAAAAGCCTCTCATTCTTTCTTAGACTGGGGGGTGAACCTAACTGTTGTGGTTTATGCCAAATGGTGTAATTTGGGCCGGGGCAGGGGAAAGAGGAAAAAAACAAACAGCCAAACATTCTATGGGAACAACACTCATACTCTATCATACTTTGTAACTTGCAACTGAATAAACTCATTTTCTAGATTTGCACAGTATGATGCATTTGTGATTCACTACAAACAGGCAACATGGAAGGTCACAACTTAATGCTCACCAAGCTGAATATGGGCACGGTTTGCAGCTGCCAGATCTTTCCCTGCCCAGTGAATCCATGCAGGTAACTCAGTTAAACATTATGCCCCCACTTCTATGGCAGCAGATAGGCATCAGACTCCATGCAAGATGGGCGCAAGGGACCGTGAGAAGAGACAGGCAAAGTGAACGCAGGGGGGGGAAGGATTAAGCAAAATAGCCAGAGGAGAGGAAGGCAGACGTTGGCATCTGAGGGCCTACCTTCACTGTGCTGGCTTCCCGCACTGCCGCTCCCATAGCTGAAACCAGGATCCTGGTAGGCTGGCGGGAAACATGGAGGGGCGAGGGGATACTGGTAAGGATAACCTTGCCCCAGCGGCCAAGGCGTGGAGGGGTGCGGGAGGGGGCCCAGGGTGTCTTGGTCAGAAGCTCCGCTGGAACCGTTGTTAAGGTTCATTGCAGCCAGATCTGGAACAGAGAGACAACATGGGAGAGGAACAGTCCAGTAAGCAGACAACTCATCAAGAGCACTCCTGCCTGCGACCCAGCAGTTTCCCCAAAATGGCACCCTTCCCCTTGGTTGGTCTACCAAGCTCAGGATGATCTACATTGGTCAATGAAAGCAGCCTTTTCAGTTAGACATGCTAACATCTGCAAGTTGTCACGCTTGATTCTTGGGAGGGGTTATGGAAGCGGTTTGCCACTGTCTTCTTTGGGTTTTTTTTTTTTAATTTCCCAATCTACACTCTTGGGGTTTCCTGGTGGTCTCCCATCCCAGAGCAAACCAGCTTTTCATGATCAGCCAAGCAAGGTCAGCTAGCTGCTGCCAACTACTGAAGCAAGAATGGGAAAGATGCAATTATCAGCTTGAAGGTATTACAAATAGAGAACTTGTAGGAACTTGGTAATTTAAGGGCCTGGTTTAATTTCAAGTAAACTTACCCTTTTCTGGTTATACACACACACATACACACACACACACACACAAATACATACACACTGAAAACAAACACACAACCAAAAGAAGGTAATTTTCCATTAGAGGAAATGAAGCAAAATGAATCAACAAATTGAATTGACAAACTGAGTTGCCTCCCTCAATAATGCCAAAATAATAACAATGACCACCCATATCTAAAAATCCACTCTTGACTATTTTATACAGGTCTAAGAATAAAACCGTAACCTTGTTTTGTTTTGATTTAGGGCAGGACCTCAAGGATGAAGCGACAAAAGCACAATAAGCTTTTTTTTCTGTGCAGGACATCCAAGTGCAAATATCCATTTATAACTGTGCTGTGCTTTATCATCTTCTGCCAGTAAGAAAAGGAAAACGCACAGCCCGAAATAAGCAACAGTAAAGGAACTCATCAGAAGAGCAGCTTTTCCAAAGGAAACATGCCACAGAGCTCACTTACTGCCACAAAGATCTCCAAAGACGTAATAGCACTGTTCTGAGAAAGTAATCTTATTCACAGTGTGTCGGAGGTAGCCATGCTTCAACATGCTGCTGGCATATTTCCGGGCTTCTCGACGGTCTTTGAAATCCTCCACATGGGAGTAAAGCCAGTCAACGACATCTGCTCCTGCAAACAGAAAGCAGGAAAACATTGCGTATTCACAATCCCTTTGCAACCCCCCAGCAACATAGCTTAATGTGTTCTTAGGAATATTAAGCTGAATCTCGGTCCTGCTTTGCCAGCATTCAGCAAGATTTCAAACAAAAAAAATCCACCTGCTTGATATTTTTCACCCTACAAATTTGGCCATATGAATTTAGGTTACCCTCACTTGCCTTCACACTCTATAGCCCATTTTTGTCCTCTCAGTGTAATGGTCTGTGGGAATGGCCTTGGGAGACAGGAGGAAGAGCTGCAGACTAGGCAACGGCCAGATAAGAGGCAGCTGAGTCCACAGCAGGAATGGGAGGGTGGAAAGCATCTCAAAAGGGACCGTCCCTAGTTTCCTGGACTGTAAAGGTGAAGGGGGAGAGAGGTACTTTCAGACTTACAAGATTCTGTTAATGTAACCTTATAACAAAGTTAAGGTTAGTACTTCTGGGTACTGTACTGGCTGTCCCCCATGCTGGCTGGGGAAATCTGGGAGTTGACGTCCACACATCTTAAAATTGCCGAGGTTGAGAAGCACTGCCCTAGGTGCTTGGTAACCCCCAGAGGTCTTTGATGGGAAATCCTATAATTGTTGACCTTCAAAACAGTTGGGAAGATACTCATTTGCCTACTGCTGAGGTCCCAGCCTGAATTATCCTCTGCTAATCCAGAAAAATGTGTGCAATGAAACTGCCTTTCTGAGAGTAGAGGATGTTCTGGTCATTCTGGATTGATCAGGGAGAAAATGCTGAGCAACTCTTATGCAGGAAGTTGCTCAGTTTGGCCAAGATTCTGCCAACCTCCTCACTGCGGCAGTGAGAAAGAAAACCCAGAGAGAAATTTGATTCAGGGGTGGGAGGAACTTACCAATCACCGCATTGGAGATGGTGATTTTTAACCACATCCTGTCCCGAATTTCTAGCCCCGAATCCGGTAACTGCATCACTTTAACAATGGTGGCCATGTCGCTTTTCACTGTCAAAGGGGTCTCATCCAGTTCTGAAAGGGGAAGGAAGTTCAGAGACGCTGATTCCGTGGAATGAGGATTGTCAGGAGACGCAAGAAAGAGCAAGGCAGAGGGAAGGGAAGCAACCTCACATGGGGCAAGCCTGCCGCAAGAGTGGAGTGGAAATTTCAGCTTTGAGGGGGACCACAGTAATAAACAGGTTTTGCTAGCTTGTATCCACCAGCCAGTTCTTCTGTAGAGCCTAATTAAAAAGAATTAGGAACTAGTCTTGGGCAAAATATCCATCCTGCATGAATTTGCTGTTTTCTCAGAGCACAGATCATGAACTGAGCAAAATCCAGCAAAGAGCAACGGCTGAGCCCAAAAGGCAAAACTGGCAGTTTGTAGGGCTAATAGAAGTCCTGAAGCCTTCTTCAGCCCTACAATGACCCACCAGAGATCACTGCAACCTGGCATTTTGCTGCCTGCCTGCCCCTGACTCTCCAACTGAGGACAACTTGGAAAGGGTTTAGTTTCAATCCAAGCTCCTCCGAATGTTGCGGGAAAAACACTGAACCTCAAAGACTGATTAAGAGCTTGATCTGTAAACGCCTAAGACATTAAACGTGGGAAGGACTGGAAGAGAAGCCTGGATGATTGGGGAGGTTGGGAAAAAGATGGGTCGAATCCTTTTCCTCCTATTGTGGGTGGGAGTTTTCTTCCTAGGTCTTTTTTCCATTGTTTTCCCTGCACTTTGTGCTCAGAAATTGTAAATATTATTATTAATTTTAAAAATTATTAAATAATAATAATAATAATAATAATA